CTGGGCATAGAGTGGCAACCAACCATGGGGATGGCAGTCGTGACTCCATCCCCTCCCCAGTACTTCTGCAGCCCTGAGAAGCCTCTCTGCTGGACTTGAGGAGACTAAGCTACACCTGCATGTGTATTCCTCAAGTTCACTCCAGGAAGCTGAGGCCCAAGCCGGTCCTCCTGCATGTAGGCTGGTCCCTCTTTCCTCTTCCTAACTCATCTTCCTCGTTCTTTAGATCTTAGACCCAATCAGTCCACCTCTACCTAAAGTCTTCTCTAACTATACCAGGCTACTTTTCTTCTTCAGAATTCCTTATGATTCCTTTTACTAACCTCAGTGTTGGACATGGCAATAATCTTTGCCCTCATTACAGTGAACAGATATAAGGGTCACATATGTCAGAGGAAAGAGCTCTGGCTCTGGAGAGGGGTCCTGGCACCACTGCTTGTTCACCGAGTGACCTGTGGAAAGTTCCCTACATTCTCTAAACCTCAGGGTCCTCATCTTTTAATGCAGATAGTCATACTTTGTAGGGTAATTTTTAAGATTAAAATAGTATATGTAAGTCAACAGACACACAGTAGGCATTTAATACATTGAAGCTATTAATACTTGTATCACTGAATTGACCTGGAGTGATGAACAGACAATGCAATATACAGATGATGTATTATAGAACTGTACACCTGAAGACCATATAATTGTATTAATCAATGTCACTCCAAAAAATTCAGTAAAAAATAAAATAAAGTATATATAAAGAAAATCTTAAATCATACAATTAAGGAACAAATTAAATGTATCATTTAATTTTTCATGTGCTCCATTTTTTCATATGCTCCATCATTTAATTTTTTATATGCTCCAGTTTTAAAATCTAACTACATTTAAGTTATTTAAGGATGGAGCTGCCCCTTTTACATTTTCGTACTCTTCATAGGTTAATGCTCACAACCAGGTCATGAAATACTTGTAACTAAGGACTAAAGTAACATTTGATTTCCTTCCTTTTTGTGTTTCCAAAACACTAGCCTAAGGAGATCGAGCCTGAGTTGCTGTTCACAGCAGACTCAGTGCCCCTTTTCTAATAGATCTGGAAGCAGATGGTCAGTGGGGTATTAACTCCAGTTGAGGATCAGGACCTAGATGTCCAGATATTATGAGTCCAGGAATAAAGCTTATGTGACAAGAACAAAAACGTAGCAAAAACTGAACTACAGAATAGAAATCTTTCCATTTTCCAATGGGAATTATAAGAGAGTGGGTGAAAGATCCCCAAAAGAATCTGGACAACAGGTTTAAGAATCAGGACCCAGTGGGAAAAAGAACTCTGTAACAGAACCAGGTCTTCTGATTCTGACACAGGCTTCCAGTTTTTATGTGGCATCTGGAGAGACAGGCATCAGTCTCCTCTGAGCCCCAGGTGAAGCAGGAACCTGGAGACACCTGACTGAGGTGTGTTCTCAAAGGTCCCTCCAGGCAGATACTGACACACATTTTCTCTTACGAACTAAACAAGAAAAAAATAAAAAATATCTCAAGGCATACAATCTGGTTTACTTTTGACTTTCTTAAAAAACAGCCATTTCTAAAAGAGGCAGAGAAAAGTACTGAGCTCCCCAAACGTAAACAGAAGAAAGGGGTTGCTGCTGTTGGGTAGCATCTTAGAAATCCCGTCAACTAGGTAATCCCACATTTGTACCCCAGGAAAAAAAAACAACCATCTTCTATTCACCCATCAACATCCAGGTAATTTGGGGGCCCTTTTTTTTCCTTGCAGTATTTTAATGATTTTTCTTGAAAGTATTCTGTGTAACCAAGGGAAAACATGCCCTTTAAAGCCAAGCCCAATTCTCCAATTTTTGGGTGGTCCCCCTGATTTACCACCGGAGCTCCTCACAGTTCCCATGTTGATGTCCTCTTCGGCCATCAGGCACTACACCCCCACCAGCCTTGGAAAAGCCTCATAAGTCAGGATGACAATATCAAGACCATTAAGTCAACATACATCAGCAAAACTGCCTCACTGCTGTCTTGGCTCTAGGTCATAAAGATCTGTCACAGCACACACCAGGCCCTCAAGCACTGGACTTGATGGGTTGTGCTCAGAAGGCCACTTCTAAGACCAAAGCCATTTTTCACTCAAGGACTCTGCCCACAGAGCCCTAAAATGCTGCACAGTAATGCTGATGGTAATAGCTCTCAGGTATTAGCCAGGCATGGCCCTTTGCTCAGATCTCAAAATTGGCACTCGGGTCTAGTTTAGCATACTTCAAAACATGCACATTCATAGACATACACTGAAACATAAATATAAATTTTATTCTATTTGTGACTGGGTAAATTCCATAGCCTACAGTGTAAGAAGTCACCACCTAGGTTTATGAACGAACTGATTAGGATGGTGTAAAGTCAAATCCCCCAACCAAGTCTAATAACGCCCCCACTTTCTATATAACCAGAAACATTTCTGGAGCCTAGTGGGGAAGACAGTTTTGCCAGAACCCATAGAAATGTGAGCTGTGTTGAACCTACCACATTTCCCTGGCCTTTGGTATACAGGCTGCCTCCTGGGATTTCTCAGCTTCCTCTTCTCAGCCCACATCCCAGCTTCCACCTCCAGCAGATTAGCAAAGGTTGATAAATGACAGTATCAAAAACACAACAATGATTTAAAAGCAAATGACAGAGTCGTGAGCACACATGTTAAAATTCACAAATGTATGTGACATTTTTCAAGAAATCTGCCCATTTTCTGTGAAACTGTAGCCAAAGGCCACAAGATAGTATGACCTCATCTCTTGTCCTTCTCTAGGGTTTGATGATGACATCTTAATTGTGAAGTGTTATGTAGCTTGTAAAAACTAAATTTGAATTAGGGCTTTCCTTCATTTTCATATCAGATCCCCACCAATTGAAACTTCTCATGGCAATATCCACCCGTATTGCCACTGCCCAATATAACTTTTGCAATGATAAAATGTCTTTTTAAATAAAGAAACCATGAGTCACAGGGGGCTATGGAGCACTTGAAACATGGCTGGTGCAATTGAGGAACTAAATTTTGTTTATTTTTAATTAATTTATATTTAGCCACATGAATGTAGGGTCTACCTTACTAGACAGCACAAATTCTAAGGGCTCACAATGTGGATAGTGTTTGCATGCACAGCATTTAGGAAGCCTTAGGATGATAACCTGGTACAGAATGACATGGATAAAGGAGAGGAATTGAAACAGGACTCAGACACATCAAATACCAGAGTGAACCTGGGACAGCCTCCCGGATGCAGAGTTTACACAAGAAATGTCTAGTTGAACTGGTTCCATGATTCTTAGACCCATTCAGTAAGGAAAAAGGCTGTAAAAAGGAATCAAATTATGAAGAGGGGAGTGTTGGGAACCACTCTGCCTGGTTTCAGGAGTTGTAACTGCCCCCCCCCCAGACAAGACTGAGTGAGCCACCTCCTGCTATGAGCCACTAAGGAGACAAAGCTTATCTCTGGCAGCAGCACTTCTTCTGCTTCATCCCCTGTCCCCAACACTTGGTAGGTTAGTCAGAGATGGGTAAGACCCCTCAGAGGGGGGGCAACCTGAGCCAGACACGATCACTTGGGAGGCTCTCAAGTAAGGACTCAGAGGGCTGCAGCAAGAAGGGAGTGATGGACCCTTGCCCCCTGGCTATTCAGACATAGCCTGAGTCCCCATGTCCTCCAGGAGAAGCTCTTCCTGGCTCTAATCCACCTAAGCCTAAAAACCTATGATGGGGAAGTTGGTGCAGCCCCTTGCTGGCTAGAGCAGGTTCCAGGGTGATCAGGCATAAGAAAGAGTTCCTAAAGTCCTGTAAAGCCTGCTTTGTTAAGAGTGCTTTCATTCATATGATAAGAGTCTGAGCAGGAAATGAGTATGCCTTCCAAAGTTTTTGCAAACCCTTTACCTGACAGACACTGACTCAGACTAAGCCCCCAGATTTCTTTGAAATGTTATCTACTGTTTGATCCTTGCCACCTGACATTGATTGATGAGCTTCACCTGTATTCCTATGTGTTCCAAACCTAATAAAAGCCATTGAAGAAGAGGTTCTTGGTCTTTCTCCTTTGAGGGATTGACCACCTCTCCTCCCCAAGCAGATCATGTCTTGGTAGTTTCATTTTCATCCATGGTGAACTGGGGGACTTGCGGGTAAAGTTGCCCCCACAGGGGAGAGGGTGTGATGAAGAGATTCTTTGGAGAAAGTGGCTGCTACTGCTACCTCATGATCTGCCTGAAATGCTTCCAGAGTTTGGTAGGACAAAATATGAAAAGGATTACCTATAGACATGGGTGAAAGAGAACTGAGCTAGTGCTAGTTAAATGGGACACAATAAGACTGCCTGGGAGAGCATGCTACTACCTCATCTGGGCAGGGCAGACCCAGGGGTGTGCTGATGAATGTTTCAGAACCACCTCTCTGGAAACAAACCAACAAGGTTGGATTTTGTGCATTTCCCCCGCCCCCCAATTTCTTGAGTGTGTATATTCCCACCATGGCCCATTTCCAGCTACAAGCCTGAAGTCCCTGAATGTACAGTTGGGAATGGATGTGCACCTACACCAGCTTTTGTGAAGCAGTGTAGGCCAGCTCCAGCACAGCACTGGGTGGAGCACTGGGAAGAACCTCGCCTCAGAAATGGAGGGCATGCTCCACAGTGCAAGACTTAGGTGTATGAGATCCCCAGTGATGAGTGTCTGTAGATCTCAAGAGAAAGAATGAGTTTGCTTTCCAGATTGAGAGTATAAGTCACCCAGCCAGGTGAAGCTCTCCTTTCCTCTTACATCTGTTTCATCCTCTGTTTCTTCAGCCTTTGTAGAATATAAAATAGCAATTTGGGAATCTATGATAAGGTGTGTAAGAGAAAGAGCAGAAACCAATCACAGCCCCTTAAAGGCAGGCAGCTGCCAATCACCAGCCTTGGCTCAGAAAAGATCAGGAGACCCCTCACCCCTACATGAAGAAGACTGAGACACTGATTCACATCATGGACAGGTTTATTCTACTTACTGAATTAAGATTGTGTGTCAGGACTTAAAGTGACTTTAGAACCATTGAGTATTTGCCAACTTTCATTCTGAGGGCAGGGGTTGAATTTAGAGAGACAGTGGGAATCCAAAACTAATAATAGTAAGTTTGAACTTTTATTACATCATAAGTTATGCATATTCAGCATTGAAATAGAGCCAGGTTTGACTGTCCCTTCTTCCTACATCTTTACATTCACAGCATAACTCACTGCTGTTAAAATAAAACATCAACACCACCAAGGATAATGTGCATCTTTTAAAACTTTTAAATTGAGAGACAAGGTCTGGCATATGGAGCCTGATAGCAAGGAACAGGTCACATACTCCAAAGTACCTGACCTTAGTAACGTGTGCACTCGGGTGGTGGGGTGGTATTCAATTAGAACCAACAAGTTGGGAATTAGCATGACCCCTGACACATAGGACACTTAGCCTCAATACATTTCCACTCATTCATGTCTCATAGTTTTATATTTCTCTTTAAAAATAACTTTTTAAAAGTATTAATGGACACAGAGTAATAGACAAGGATGGTGATGGCCAGAGGGAAGGTGGGGGCAGGGGCTTGATGGAGGTGGGCAAAAGGGCATGGGAAATGGGGACATCTGTAATAGTGCCAAAAACAAAAATAAAGTAAAAGAATAATTACAGAAAAGTATTCATGGAATAGAAAATAGCAGTCATTTCAAGGAGTATCTCAAAGCTCCCGAAATGAGATGAGTGCTTGTTCACTTTCAGTCTCAAAGTAAGCACTCACCTCCCTGCACTTCAGGGGGTGAGGTGGTGACCTCAAATAGGTAGGGGCATAGGGGGTGGGTCATGGTAGCTGAACACCCCTGGGCAACTTCTAGGTTCCTGTCTAACTGTCATATCAACAAACTGTAGATGTAAGACGACAACACCAAAGGAATGGGCCTGGAGAATGTAAAGGAACCTATAGTTAGACTCAACTTAAAAGAGCTTCTTCTGCAAGGAACATTTTATATTTATGGCTAAAATCTGAAGCTGAATGATATCTATCAGCCTTAAAGGGATGGCTTTATCATGACCAAACTCCAGCCTGATGGCCAGGGGAGAAGTTTATAACTTTCACATCAAAGTCAGCAGCTGTCCATCGTGAAACCCCTTTCCAGAAATTCAATGTCTTTGCATGAAGCTTTTCCTCCTGGATCTCCTATGATGAGACAATGATAGGAAAGAAGAATGCAGGCATCTCCCCCTGTGACGTAGGATAAACACGCACACATATCCGCTCTATTTCTCCAGTCCCAGATGTTTGCTCTGGACATTCTTCTTGGTCTTCCAGCTGGGCACCTTCAGGGAATGGATGTTCCTGGTCTAATTCCCATTCAGAAGCCAAGGAGCAGGTTGATGACTCAGAAAGAATAGAAACACTTGGTAATGTTTGGTGAGCACCCAAAGGTGCTACACTGGAGAAATGGCACAGTTCGATCTGAAAAACAGCCTTTTTGTCCTACCTGAGGGACAGAGGAGATGGAAGGTGTCACACAATGCCACTGCTTCCTTTTCCATATTCATGACAGACACCACCCTGAACCCTCCTTCTCCCTCCGTCTTTTTGATTTTAAGCAGAAACTCCATGATGCTTAACCCTTGGGACTTGGGACTATTTGAAAATTGCCAAGAGTACTCAGATCCCCAGAAGAGTATGTATATGCACATACTCAGATATCCCCCGGATCCTGGATATCATTTAAGGGGGTTCACTGACAATACTCACTCCCACCCAGAATCTAGGGATCTGAGGTTCAGAGGCCCTGTCTCAAGGCAGGTGCTCTGGCACTAATGCCTCTAGGTGAATATCCCCACCCCGACTCCTTCCCACCCTACCCCACTGGCCTGGTTTCAGCCCAAGTTTGCTTGCCAGTTGAACTGGCACCATGGACCACTCAGGAGTTATTTCCTGGATCCAGAGGAAACAACCAATTTTTTTTAAACAAATCATTTCTTAATTACTTGAGGGTTTTGAGAATCCTTGATTAAATCACAAACCACTGCATCATTCATCTGACACTTCAGTCTCTTGAACCAGACTTCAATTTCTTGGAGGAACTTCACCTAAGACACAGTAAGTTCTGGATCCATATACATCATTAAGCATTAACATTTATGGATCATGTATTAGGTGCCAGGCATTATCCCTAAGCATTAGGGATAGAGCAAAAAGCAAAACAGGCCTGATCTTAATTTATTCCAACTACCATTGCTTTAAAAACAATGATGATAATTATTATAAAGCTACAAGATATAGGTTCTGTGCTTAACCTTTTATATGTGTTATTTCATTCTTTCTCAGAAAACCAGGTGAGGTAGGCATTAGTATCCCCATTTTACAGATGTGAAAACTGAATCAAAAATTTACCTAAGCTGTGGAAGGGCAAGGACAAGATGTAACACCAGGCAGTTTCCTTAAACTACCTTTAGATTCAACATCCCTGGTTGTGCTTACGAAGCAAAGTTAGACCACACAGCACCCCTGAAATGAGAATGTGTGTCTCACAAAAAATTAGTCGGGCAATGGCATGTACATAAGTAGACCCTGGGGCTCTCTATGGTTGCCAAGAGGCTCGAAGTTGGTCAGCATGAATGTAATCAGAAGGCACTGATGACTTTGTTAAGTGGAGATGGTCTGGTGGTCCTAGGAAAAAAGTAGAAGGAACATGGTGGGCAGGTAAGGCTGAGGGTTGCTGGACTGGAACTGGCAGCCAAAGGACAGACAAGCCGCAAGGTATTTTAAAAAAGAATATATATGTATATGTATATATATATATATATATATATATATATATATATATATATTTCAAATGATATATATATTTTTTAATGTATTTGGGCAGAATAGATGACTACAATCCAAAGTCAATTACTGGAGAAAATACAAAGTAGATACTAAAAAAGTTTGACTAGTTGAAGCAAATATTTAAAAATAGTTGGCTACATCCTTGGCTTCCAAAGACCCCAGTTAGCGCTAATGGACACTCAGATGAAATTTCAGACTGAAAATCATTAAAAGAGGTAGCTTTTAGGAAGGGGTGAGCTCATATTTTACAGGTTATATAATTTGGGTGACTGTCCATAAAAAATTGCTAATACTAAACTGGGTACTAGAGGCCCCAGAAGCTTCCTCTACATTAGCTTCCCAGTGAATCTGTTTCTGCCCAAGTGTGTATCAGACCCAGGGAGGAGGTTGATAAGAAACAGCGACCCCATTAGTGTTGGAATCACAGTGCCTGAGATAAGACTAAAAGCCTAATTCGGAAAACCTTGTGATCCAGGGAACAATTTGAAGGCAGTTTGATAAGATGCAAGACAATAGTGGAGACGGTTTAAAGAGAGGCTTCTGGCAATCCAAACCATTGAAAGAGACACCCAATGTGAATTTGAATGAGACACCAATTTCTCCATGTCAATTTGTAAAGATCATGCTGTTAAGCCAACCTCTAGCTAGCACATACAGTGCCTCTGTGGGATTTACAAAAGGACACCTGTGCAGACAGACAAGGTGAAACAAGCCTCTCTGAGCAGGGAGCCCCTGCAGGTGAATGGTGTGGCAATCAGGTCGACCTCTGGAGCATTGGCGAAAAGCATTCCTTTGCCTCTGCGTGGTGTCCCACTTGCAGGGTGCAAGGTGGGCACGGGACAGACAGCCTGATTTCCACTCCGCTCATCCTCTCATCTCGGTGCTTCGTGTGCTGTTCAGCACAACCAAACAGGCGGTCCTGCATCTTACAGATGTGACGACTTTAACAGCACACCAAGAAGCACTGAAAAATGTGTGATTATCTGGCCCAGAAAGTCCTTTTTTTGCAATGTATACTAAGAGAATTAGGGGTGATGAACACACAATGCAATGTACAGATGATGAGTGTAAATCATTCACCTGAAACCTGTATAATTTTGTTAGCCAGTGTCACCCCCAATGCATTCAATAAAAAGGAAAAAAAATAGTAGTAAAAGCAGAAAAAACACCCTAAAAGTTATCAGGGAAAAGGACAAATATATGTAAACTAAAGCATGTAGAAGTAGTATTTCTATCATGAAAGACTGAAAACAACCTGTATGTCCAACAATGGAAAGTGGTTAGTTAACTCCTGACTCAGCCTCTAATAGAATACTGACCACCCATTGAATGACTTTTCAATGACATGATTCTAAATTAAAAAGCAAGAAAGTGAAATATGCAGATTTCAAAAATATGCATGTCTGTTACAAAGACTAGAAAGTTTCCAAAACTTTAAAAGTAGGTATCGACTTGTAGTAGAATTATAGCTGATTTTTACTTTTCCTTCACATTTTTCCATATATATTTTTTTACTTTGTAAATGTCTTATCACCCTCATCGCAAATACACATTTTTAAACGGCATCTGGACTTCCCAGGCAGAGACAAAGTGGGAGCAGGAGGTAAAGCGTTGCCTTGACCTCGTGGGCGGATTGTTCACACCTCACCGATTCCCACTTCTCTCCAGCCCCAGCCGCAGCCCCAGGTCGGCTGGCAGCACTTTGCCTCATTGCCCTGTTTGACTTACTGTGATGGATGATCATTGGAGGAACATGGCATCTCCCTATGGCTTTCACTACCTTTCAAAGCCCTAGGAGTGTGATCGAGTGCTGTGGCAGGACAGTTTCAGGTCACTAAGGACACTGAGACAGCTAATTGACTTAGCTACTTACTTCCAGATTTATAGGACACTGTTGCTGAGTAATTAAAATTATTGAGCTATTTCCACAAGATATTAACTTGATGTAATCCTCACCAAACAAATTGAGAGCTGGGTTTGGGTTTTTTTCTTTCTTTCTGTTTTTCATTTGGAATCAGCAATCAAAGATTATTTAATTATGATAATGTGTTTCTATTAGGAATGGTCTCTATAGCTGAAGCCTGATGAACACTATGAAGTCTGGATGACAAGGATTTTTTAAATTTTATTTATTTTTAGAGAAAGGGGAAGGGAAGGAGAAAGATCAGTGTGGGAGAGAAACATCAGTCAGTTGTCTCTCGTATGCATCCCGACTGGGGATTGAACCTGCAACCTCAGCATGTGTTCTGACTGGCAATTGAACCAGCGACATTTCACTTTGCAGGACAGCACTCAACCAACTCAGGCACACAGGTCAGAGTGACAACAGTGATTTTAACACACTCTCATACAAGTTGCAAATGGAGGAGACATGCTTTCTTACTTATTCTATGGCTAGCTGTTCGAGAACCATCTTTAATTCAAGGCAGATTTTCTTCTCGGGGTTAGAGTTGGACAGAGTTAGGCTGTGTGTTTAGTGCCTGGGGGCCCAGGCACACCTGGTGCCACGGGGACCATTTTAATCCATGGGAGGTGGAAATTGGAAAGGGCTTCAGGTTTAGTGCTCACCGTTAAATGGTGACTTTAAATGGTCAAAGAGAACAGCTCAGGACCCCAGGACCACGAATCTCCAGGGAATGAAGGGACATTCCCCACTTGATCCATGCTGTCTAGAAGGGATACACAGCCTGGTCTGGCCTCTTTTTTCCAAAACACTCTTGCCTCTGGCTTCCCTAGCAAGGGTTTGCTGAGTGAGTGCTGGATGCTGGTACACATGCGTCCCTGGTGAGCAAACAATCAGCACTTCCTCTGGCAGGCACTTAGCAGCCACCGAGCAGAAGGCAAACCCAGGTACAAATGACTGACAAGCAGGTAAATTACAGCCCCAGGCTTGGCAGGACCCAGACCTCTCTCCTTGGTCCAAGCTTTCCCTCAGGGGATCGGGGGATGCTGCACCAGAAAGAGCAGTGGAAACACAAGCTTCTGAATAAGGCTAGACCTGGTGGTAAGTCTTCTTATTTGGGGTGAGTTTATTTGCTAAACCTCAGTTTTCTCATCTGTAAAGTAGAGATGATGATAGCATGTAACTTGTGGAGGGGACGGTGAACCTAGTGAGACACCAGGTATACCGTAAGCATGTAGCACAGTTCCTGACACGTGGTGTCCGTTCTCTTCCACAGCCCCGAGACGCCTCCTTTCCATTAATCCTTGTTCCTAGCAGCTACGCTTTTGAATCACCTAGGAAACTTGTAAAAAACACAGTTGCCTGATCCCCGTATTCGTTATCTATTGTTGTGTAACAAATCACCCCACAGTTCAATGGCTTAAAAAACACACATTTATTATCTCACAGTTTCTGTGGGTTGAGAATCAAAGCAGCTTAGCCAGGGAGCTCTGATTTAGAGTTTCAATCAAGGCGCCAGCTGGGGCTGCAGTCGCCTGAGACTTGACACTTGACTGGGGTGGGAGATTATACGGCCAAGCTCACTCACAGGGCGTTGGCCACAGTTCCTCCCCACACAGGCCTTTCCGTGGGGCTGCTCATGACATGACATTTGGCTGTCCCCAAAGCAAGTCATATGAGAGCCAGAAAGCAGAGCCACATGCCTTTTAAGACCTACTTTCCAAGTCACACACCTTCACTTCTACCTTATTCTA